CGTACCAAATTGTAACTAGTCAGATAGAACGGCCTTTGGCCAAAGTCCTACATAGCCAACGGCTGATACAGGACTATAATGGAATAATAATAATGCTCAGCCTCAACCCACTTAGTCGAAGTGACAGTCTCTGAATTACCAGAGCGAGATTTGAACGTAATTGTGTTGTCAGTATTAATAACAATAGCTGTAGTCTCCCCCGCATCCTCCTTTCTTAAAATGTGCTGCTTGAATCCAGCTGTTGACTCGTCGTTGAAAAGGGCCTTGCACATGACCTTGGAAGCAATCTTTGCCACTTTGGCTGCAGGAAGCAGCGCTGGATTGGATCCTTTGGCAGCGTTTATGGCCACCTTGATGAGTGCTGGGGCCGCTTTCTCGAGGAAGTCGATGATACTGCGGAAGTTGGTTGGGTCTGAATACCACATCAAGAGCTCGTTGGGGCGCTCCGAGCCGGCTTGCTCACGGTGATAGGTTATGAACCACCAGTCGCGACCGGTGGTAAAAGCGCCTGTGTTGTATTCAACCGTTTGGAGGATGGAAGACGTGGCGCCTGGCAGAATATCACCAAAGTCGGCTTGGTTCTTGTAGTTGTCGCTGTACTTGTGGGTGATGCTTGCGCCGCTGATGACATCGGGAGTGTTGTTTTGAATCGTGACATACGCTTCGCGTTTGGTGACACACAATGCAAGCGGAAGCCAGCAGAGAACAACGATGAGTTTTGAGAAGCTCGTGACGCCCATGGTGATGGAGGAACAACTTTCAATTTTTGTTTATGGTGATTAAATGTGCTTTTTGCTCAGGAATGTGTTGCGCTTGTAATGAACAGGTCGTTAAAGGGAGTCTTTCCCTTCCCTTTAAATACATCAATTCGAACATGAAGCCCATGGCACTCTTGATTCTGTTTGATGAAATTAGAACGGTCGCTCAGCTGTGCAAACGGCGAGGTGGCTCAGCTCCCCACAGCTGTCAGCCGTGCCAAAACTTAACTACAAATGACACTTTTCCCGTGTTCCTGTCAGCGCCAAGAACACAGATAGTCGCCGATTGCTCATTCTGCCAGGGAAAAATGCCCGTGCATGGCCAAGGGCACCATGCTAATTCTAGCGTAACGGTCAGACCCTTGGTAGATGTAGAGCTGAAAATACCTAGATACCTATACGGAATATCCCAAGAACAGCTTATACCTCCTAGGAATGTGGACTCCGATAGCCCATCGAATTGTGCGGCAGTGGTCTACCTGCGCCTCATCTCGCTCGGGTAATAGTGTCCGTTAACAGAAGTATACCTATGCGACCCGAGGAGTGCATACATCGTAATCGTTATTCTTTATTTAAGCAGCAAACATAAAAACCTCCTATAGTTAGTGACTTAACGAAGCTACTAAAACTGTGACAATAACTTCTTACTACCTCCTACTCTGATTTCGCTCTTTATATACTCTATCGTATATAACTATCTTTAATCTTTAGTAGTCTTTTCAATACTGAAAGGCTGTAGTATACGATCTTGCACAGTATCAGATAGGTAGAAGTTTTAGAGTGATAATAACAGGGCTAAATAAAAAGAACAATGTTAGAGCGAACATGAGAGCTATAGAAGAGGAAGAGTTCATCGCCATCAACATAAAGCTAAGTTCTGTGTAGTTATTTAATTTTTTGCTAGCCCTTCTCCAATAATATCCATCACTGATCGCTGAGCTTCGTCATGATTCGGCCACCAGGTCATATGGGAAAGATCATAACTGTCCACCTTTTGCAAGAAGTCTTTGCTCTGGTTACCGATTTCAGTTCGGGCAAGAGCACGTCTGAATCTGTGGCCAAAAAAGTCCCTCACGTTTCCGAATTTGCCCTATTCCTTCGAAGGGAGCACTTTGAAAACTCCTCGCATGCTCTCGTAACCTTTGAAGATGTATTGAGGGAAATATTTGGGCCTTTACTGCGCACTCAGGAGACGGTTGCAGACTAAGAGAAGGGCTGCAAGTGTTGAGGCAGCCGCTGTCACGGCAGAGTTTTCCGGTTCATAGAATATAACTCTTCCCTTGCTGTTGTGAGAAGGACGGGTTTTCCCAGGAAGGAGGAATTCCACTCTATCGTCATCGACCTAAGCGAGTGCCTCGCCGGTATCGGTTGCGCCACCGATTAGTATACAAGCAGGAATATCGCCCGGATAACAGCGATCTCTCGTACCATTGCCATGCCAACACCGGCCCTTGGACAAGCAAGCGTGCGGTGCCCGTTGTGTTTACCGCCCGAGCGCAAGCTGAGAGAAGAAAGTGGGCTACCTCTCATTTTTGTTTTCGAGGGCTGAGGCTTCGTCCTTGGACAGCCATTGGATGGTAAAGACATCGTTCATCATCAGACAAGGTGCGTACTACACTCCTCTTTCCAACTTGTTGCAAATTCAACCCTCACTAGCTTGGTGCAGCCGTAGTCTCTGTGGGCTATGCTAAGTCACCGCGGTACTATTCTCGCACGCATTGTTCCAACTGCGTGAAGTTCTCCAATGGATACATTGAAGGGTTTACGGAGCATACCAAAGTCACCATTAATCCCGCCCTCGTTGCTTTTATGTGAAACTCAGCGGGTGGCAACTTAGCAGTGTTCCTACCTTTGCTCACCTCACATACGGCGGGACCATGCCGCAAGTTCAGAGAGGATCTGCCATTGCAGTACCTCCAAGTTGCGCAGGTTCTTATTAAATCTAGTACGGCTTGCAACGAAGCGTATCGAAATTGGTACTAGGCGGCCAGTGCAGATACTCAGGTCACGTCGCCTCCAGTTAGGGTAGGCGAACTCATGAAGGCAGCTTATTTGCCACCTTTCGTGGACAGCAACTCTATTTTTGTTGCGCCATTGCTTGCAGGGCAGAATCTACTGCGTGAGTTGCAGTCGACACTAGCTGCGGCATCCGAAAACATTTGAACCGCTACGAGAGGAGAGAAAGATTGGAAGTAGTTCGGATACAGAAGAGGTAGAATGGAGCTCGTCATATTTGGATTCAGCAGTGTCCGACTCGGACAACTAGGTGGCTGCGTGGTTAATGTATGGGAGCAGGCTTGGGCTCAGAATATCTCAATGCCAAGGGCATTTTCAATTAGTTCTTTGTCTCTTAACGACCGTGCATATGGTTCACTATGGGCCGAGGCCTTAGTTATTCGAAGGCCGTTCGGGAACTGTACAAGCAGTTGTTCCATGGCGAAATCGGTATCGTCTGCAATCCTGATTAGACCACATTGATCTTTGAACTATCGGGTATTCCAAGCCCAATTCTAACTTACTTTTTGCTCATCCACTTTTTCCATCATTGCAGTAGCTATCTTGCTTTCTATCTGCGCTAGGGACGAATTGCGATCAAAATGGAGGTAGCAATCTCCTCATTTGGATAGACATCCGCATTTCGGGCTTCAAGGTCCGTGCGAGACTTGGCGTCAGCCACTGCACGCCTGATTATCTATCCATCTATGACTCCCCTTGGTATGGGACTTTCTTTTTTCATCTCATTTTTTTAAAAAAACGGGGGCCTCATGACTGTATTCAAGTATGACTAGGTTGTGTATAGAAGGATAAAAACTGCATCTTCCCCTTCGTAACTCTCCTTCAAATCACGTCTTCTTCCCCCAACAATGACTATCAGAAAGCTTCATCCGCCTTTTGGGCACCCGATGCGCTCAGCACACTTTCAATTCGCACCTACTTATAAACCTCTCAACCATGGCTCTTTTGGTACACATCCAACTCCTGTACGAGAAGCACATTACGCTCTGCAAACTACAGCAATTGAACGACCTGATACATTCGTCTCATTTATCACATTCCCTCTCCTCACCAAATCCCGGGCTGCAATTGCTCCTTTGCTCGGAGTAAATCATGATGAAGTGGTCTTCGTCCCCAACGCCACGACAGGTGTCAATACCGTACTCAGAAATATCAAGTTTGAGGATGATGATGTAGTGGTGGCGTTTTCGACGTCGTACCCAGCATGTATCAAGACCATTGGTGCCATTGGTGAGATTCTGCCGGTCAAATGTGAGAAGGTTGAGTTGGTGTATCCGGTTGAAGACGAGGTAATCCTGGAGTCGTTCAGGGAGAAAGTGAGGAGTTTGAGGGCGGACGGGAAGCGGGTGAGACTGGCGATGCTTGATACAATTTCATCGTTCCCTGGGGCAAGGCTTCCGTGGGAGGATCTTGTAGGGATCTGTAAAGAGTTGGGTATTTTGAGTTTGATTGACGGGGCGCATGGTATTGGTAAGCAGACAGTTTTCCCGAGAAATACTGATTGGACACGAAGAATTACTGCAGACTGACATGATTTAGGGATGATCGATTTGACGCACCTCGGCAAGGTCAATCCAGATTTCTTCGTCAGTAATTGCCACAAGTAAGTCTAAACGCGACAGTGTTGCCAAGGGATTATTTATTTACCGTCCCAGATGGCTCTACACGCCCCGCTCTTGCGCCGTCTTCCACGTTCCCTTCCGCAACCAGCATCTCATCCGAACCTCAATCCCCACCTCGCACGGTTACCAATACCCTGGTCAGCCCGAAAATACCAACGGCCGCAGCCCCTTCGTCTTCATGTTCGACTACGTCGCAACTATGGACTACACACCTTACCTATGTATTCCAGCCGCACTCGAATTCCGCAACCAAATCTGCGGAGGTGAAGCCAAGATCCGCGAGTACTGCTATGATATTGCTCGGAAAGGCGGAGATTGCATAGCTGAGTTTCTAGAAACGCGTGTATTGACCACGAATAGTGAGACAATGAGACAGTGTGCATTTGCTAATGTCGAGCTGCCACTGGTATTCAAAAAGAAAGAGGAAGTTGATCAAAGCAAAGGAGAGTTGGATGTCAATGACGCAGTGAAGATTGCGGCTTGGATAAAGCGAACGGCTGCCATGGAGATGGAAACGTACTTTCAGACTGCGTTCCATGCTGGGAAACTGTGGGTCAGGCTTAGCGGACAGATCTATCTGGAAGTAGATGATTATAAGTGGGCTGCGCCGAAGTTGATGGAATTGTGCGAGAGAGCGAAGAGGGGAGAGGGGAGTCATATCGTTGAAGCGGACAGAGAAAAGATAGTCACGTAAAGTAGAAAGTAGCATACGTATTGAAGGGTCAACTTTAGATTTTTTACGCTATGTTCAGTATTGATTTCCAAAAATGTCTTGTGCTAGGCGATTATGGGACTTCATAATGTCATCAGATCAAGCAATCTGTATCAGATTTCTGGTTTCCTGAGAACAGAAATAGATTAATGATCTTCAGCATATAACCCCCATTCGAACAAATACTGAAACACCTTTGTATATGATGCCCCTGTTTGCATGCGCAGCTATATTATTACGATTTCCTGCACAGATGAGCCTGCGAATACCCCGGAAGCAAATTCTTGTGCGCGCCTCAAATTCTCCAGTTTAAGTATAAACACAATTGGAACTTTTGATATCATATCCGAGCTCATCGCGGAGTAGAAACAGAAAACACCAACCCGCCTGTAGGTATTTTGATTGATTTTGAGTAGGATCAGACCCGATGGTCCAAGACTTTTAAAATTGTCGAATTCGCAGATCTGCAGGCAGTATATTCCTATGATATCAGCCGATAGTTCTGACTCAGAATTATCCCAGTACATGGTAGCATCTTCCAAATCTATAGGCCCAATATCCTCAGATTCAAAACGTTTTGATGCATTAGGTGATAAGATTGCTCTGCTCAAGTGTCCTTGGATAGTGAGAGATCCTGAGGATACTGCACCATGAAGTGCTTCGATATGGGTAAGCTGCATGCTTGGGCCTGTTACTTTGAAATGCGGATCCACATTTTTCATAATGTTATGATGCCAGGAGATAATATTGTCTGAACTAGCCAACTCCAGGAGGGCGCACGGTACGTATCGTCTTGTTGCTTGGATGGTTGATGGCAAATCCATAGCAATGCTAATGGGAGGTGGGAGTGCCACATACCAGCCAGATAAGTAACATTAGGCGTTCGTCTGCTCCAAAGATCTGCTATGCCTGAGATTGCTGGAAGCTTGTCGGCAGGAAATTTGAGCAGGCGTCTTGAGTAATTCCAAATCAATTTCATCCAAATTTCGCATTGTTTGACTGCAGAGTCCTCTTTGGTGCCGCGATGAAGATACAAAGACAGTTGGTACATGTCCGCCTAAGACGTTTCCTCCTCTTCTTGATGCTGTCCTGTTTCTCGACACATCCATACAAGTCCTGATGATGTATATTCTAAGATCCGTGTTGATAGCATATACTCTTGGAAAGTCCAAGCACGTGAGTGGACTGGATTCCCACTACGAGGATAGCACACAACTGAGCACAACCTACCATCTAGACAGATATAAAGAAGACTGAACACAAGGCTGTCTACAGGTGGGCGAGATATAGGATCGAGAAAGCCTTCCCGGCTATCCCCTGCTCGGCTCGCGCAAATGGTGATATAGGCATTGCCGAAAATAGCAGGCAGATCTGCGATTTCGCGAGCCAAGTCTTTCTCATCGTCCTGGAAGATGTAGAGGCAGTCTATCCAGATGAATTTTACGTCAAGATTCCAACTCGATAAAATGGCGTCTTGTAACGTTCTTGGTAACTCCGAGATAGCAAGCCCTGTTTCGAGTATTTCAAATGATGAGACTGTCAGTTTGTGCCCTTGGTCTTTTCCCCAGCAATAACTCAGTGTTGAGTATCTCGTTGCCATTTACTCGCGTGACATTAGGGGTACAATATCCAGATAAACATAGATTTGGTTGATTTGCTCATTTATGCCGATACGGAGCAATCTCCTAGGTCGTCGAAGAGGATGCGAACGTTTGCATTTTGAGTGGTGGACATCACACTGTTCTAACAGCGAAACAATGCGCGATTTCGACTCTTCAGTTCTGAAATCATAGAAGCTTGGTCTCTGGGGAACGAAATCAGAGCTGGGATCTCCTAATGAAGCCTCAGTCGTCGAATGCATTGAATCAACAAATGGCATCGTTACTTACCAGGAAGTGCCACACACCAACTTTTAAGCAGAAATTTTTCATCGAAACTCGTCAATTTTCTATCGGATATAGGGGTAACACGTCGCGAGAAATCGATTTACGC